CTGCACGTAAGAAAATGTATACAAGCTAACTTTCCAGTCAGATAGGGGTACGTGGGGGGGTGTTATGTTTGGGGGAATGCCTGGAGTGTTATTTCAAATTGTTTTTGTGACTGTACTAAAGTTACCATACCCCCCCCCCTCCTCCTCGAATATCGGCTTTGGAGTTGGTGTAGGCACTGATACGATCAGATTCCTACATCAGGGGTCTGATCCTACCTACAACATTTAGAGAACTAAACGCCAAGTTTTTAACAACAAGCGGCAGTGGAGGACAGACCCGCCACATCGATCAGGCTGCCATCGTCCGGTCGGTGGTAAAAGCAGATTTCGTTTTGTGCGTTTGGAAAAGTTAATTGGATAATATGCATGTTCTTTAATGTTTTTCTGGTTTTATCATGGTGATAACGATAGGGGTTCTTGGGCAGGATAGATTTCTCACAGGCAAGGTAGATTTCTCAATGTTGATTCCACCGTACTCATCCGAATAGAATGGTTTACAATTTGTCATCTGTACCCCGAGCATAGCGTGCCATTTTGACAAAATCCTCGCTCCCGCCTGAAAGTGTCAGTGTAATGAGGAGGCCCGTGCGCACCCTCTGCGGCGATGCAGAGAGTGTGTGTGACGTGCCAGCTTCCGTACCTGAACAAGCCTCGATAGCCAAGCCTTTCATGGTTCTATTGCGATCTCCTTTCTGGTCATCAGACAATACTGGAGCTGCACCTGCTGAAAACTGGGTCCAACTCCCTTAATAGTGATTCATCACTGACACTCTGTCTTTGTTCTATGTTGATGGGGATTTTCAACATGGTTTTGTGACGCCCAACCTCACGCCCAGCGCGACTTCCTGATCGGAGTGGGATGTGGGCCTGGAAGTGCGAAAAGGGGTGTGCCAATGATTTTTGGGAAAGTGGGGGTGGAGTCCCAGGTCAGAACTGAGATCTCATGTGGCAAGGTTCTAGGGGCACGAGTGCAATAGGCTAAGGGCAAGTTCCTTCCGGTCTGTTGACGTTTGTGTTGTGCAGCATAAGGCAGATGGCATGTGCGGTGCTTTCAAGGCCGTTCGCTTCGTATGTTTTGGGGGCGGTGGTTCGGGGCGAGGTCTGCCCGGAATGGCTGTGATTCTGATGGGTCGGGACTTTGGGGGCGGCCACGTGGCGTCTGTCGTCGCGTGTTTGGGTTAGGCCTCCTGTTTTCAGGGGCTCGTCGGTTGCCGTGTTGCTGACAGTTTCCGCAGGGCGTGCGGGGCCAGTACTCGGCGATGGAATTCCACGGGACAACTGTGAGCTGGTGATACGGGAGAAGGAGGTGGGAAGGAGGGAAGTTGGTAGCGATAACCACGAAGCCGGGGGATATGAAGTAGTGCGAGTTATCTCAAGTGGGAAAATCAGGACACCTCGGATCGCTGGTCATAGCACAACGAAACTCCCTAGGGCACAATCGATTCTCGGTTAGGCAGGGGAATTCCGGGCGTCTCCGTCTGAGACGCTCGCCCAAGGGTTGAAATACTCCAGATCCCACGACGAGTCTGAGTCTCTCGAGTACGTCATTTTGTCATCGCGGTGTGATGGAATTCTCCCACACCCATCTAACCGGCAAGGGGGATTTTCCGATGTGATGTTGGAATTCCCTTCCGTTTGGGTGCGTAGGGGAAGAATTATCCCCGCCTACCCGATATCGACGGTGTCAAGTTCGCCAATGGTTACTAAGCGGCGCGCGTGGATCACAAGTGGTTAACGGGGACCCCCACTTTTCGGCCCTGGGTAACGATGAATGATCCTGAAATTAGGGTTTCGGGGTCGAATTTTGTATTTTTTTCGATTTTTTTTTTTTTTGCCTGTTTTTGTTTTAGGACAAGCTTGTCGTGTGTCAAATTTGGTGTCATTTGGGTTATTAGAATTTGTGTTGTTAATCATCCTAAAAATCCTGAAATTTTGATGAAGTTGTTTTTTGGCAAAATTGTTTGAAAATGCACTTTTGAGTTGCTGTTTTATGGTGTTATTGTTGTTGTTGTTTTTTTTTTTTTTTTTTTTTTTTTTTTTTAATATGTTAGAAAGAAGTGCACTCTATAGATTGGTGTGAAGTTTGCTTGGGATGGCCTTATGGTTTTCTTATAAATTGAGGTGAAAAATGGGGGCTCGGTTAACCTTTTCTCGCGTGGATATGTGTAGGCTGCGCAGATCAGATCGCGCTTACACGCATCCCCGCGAGGTATTGGCTTATTTCTGGACAAAACCACTATCCAATAATCTAATCACTCCTTGATCCCATACGCCATCGTTCCTGAGTATGCAAGATGCAGTAACAACAGTAGCTCAAAGAGTGGATAAACAGCAAGGGAAACAGTATTGATGACTACGCAAAATTCCTACTATGCTCATGAGGGTGTCAAAATGACAAGCAAAGGCAAGGATCAGGCAAAATGACACGCAATCCGACATGACATTTATTCATCCATTCATTCGACCAAACACTCCACAAACGAAATTGAGATCAAACACAAACACGTGTGAGCGGAAACCAAGTCAAAATTCCGAAAACAAAAACGGGCGAATCGCCCTGAGCCGAGATCAAAATTTATATACAAAAGCAAAGAGGGAGAAAAGTCAAAGAAAACTGCAAATCCACGTCCACCAACCTCAACTCCCTCTTCCTCTTTCTCTCTCTCTCCGATTGAGACAGTCCGTCGTCGCGCACCAACCCACGAAGTCGTCACCCCGCTTAGTCCTCCCGCACCCGTTAGGTTCGTCCGCACCCACAGTCCGTCGTGGCCCCCGTCAACCCCGCGCGTTTGGCACCAGCTCGTCTGGTCGCCCGACTCCCACTTCAACTCACCAATTACTTCGCTGGTGAGCCGACCCTCATTGATCGCGCTACCCCGAGGTTCCAACAGCTGGTTAAGAGAGCTATCTAATCGCGCAGCCGGAATTTATAGCGTGCATGCATGCGCGAAGAACACGGAATTGCACGGACTTCGAAAGGAGACCAGGGGAGGGAGTGCCTACGTTCTTCATGGCCAGATCGCGGCGCGGGGGACGTAGCCTCTCTCCACACATCGATCCGAGCATGCAGTCCGCGGACTGGCTAGACACAACAAGAGAAAGCGAAAGCGGGAAAGACGAAGTTCAAGAAGAAAGATACAGTTACAATGACGCCCGCCCAAAATTACAGTTACACATACGATTAAGGGCGCCGACTAATCAGAGTTCCGTTGCAGCCGCAAAAAGGAGCGCGTAAGCAAAAAGCGCTGTGCGGCAAAAGAAAGTCCTAATTGCAAAATTCCTAAATTCCTATCTAATGCAGAAAAACGAAGAGCATAATTTTCGAAAAGAAAGTCCGAAGTTTCGAGAGCCATTGCAGCCTTCCGCGCCTAAAATCCGACAACAGCACAGAAAAGAAGAGGCGTCAACCCTTATTAATCGCGCCCGGTCGGTGCGACAGCCACTCAATCAATCATCCCGGGACTTACCCGGCCCTGAATCCAGCCATCCGAAAAGAAGCGACGGAAGAGAAAAGACGAAAAGACGAAAAAGGCGAGGACACTGATGCAATTCTCCCTCGATCCCGATCTCCCGTAATTGGCCCATCCTTCCCAGCTTAGGACCCCTCATTGTTATCGTGCAGAACAGAAATAGGTTCGTCACAGTTTTATGAACTAGCTGTTTGAATGAACAAGCAATAAGTTTGGTTGTGCGCTGGGCTATCCAATTCCACGTTGAGCATGTAGTGTGTTCAATGATGGCTCCTTTGTGCATGATGAAGCCTTCTGCTGCCCAAGCACCTTATCCAAATTCAAATCTCACGGGAATTCCTCCATTCCATGTCAAAAGCTATCATCCGCTGGCCTGAACACTCCCCTTTCTGAAACCAATCACTTTGTTCTCCTTTGTTATTCTCTGGACCTGAATCCTGAGTTGCAGAGGCATGCATCAGGAAAATGCATGGTTATTTAGCGCTATTTGGGAAAGTGGACAGCAGATTGTTACAGTAATGATCAGTCAGTTGCCCAGTGAGTGGAGAGCAGAGTGTTGTGGTCATGATCACTCACTTGCCCAGTGCTTCGTGGGTGCTACTTCGGCGCCTGGTGTACAGCACATACAGCACATGAACAGTACCGGTAGTGCACCATGATTACACATCTCATCAAGGCAAGGGAGAGATGGTCACAAGGCAAGGGAGAGATGGTCACACATGTGGCTCAGTAAGATGGACTGGGATCATTGAAAGTAAATCGTGAAGACGAAGAGAAAAGCATCAGTAGCTGATAAGAGCTACCCCGGCCTCGGGTACTGCCTCTTGTGACGGCCCCGCTCTTATGCCACGAGTGCCTCCGACCCTCTCTTTTGCCGAGGCGTATTCCCCCTGCGCGCCAAAAAAGGACGAACCGCCACGGCGTTTTCGCCCTTGCCCCCCAAAGGGCACGTTTCTCATGCACAGATTTCCCCGGAAGGCCCCCTGCCTCTGCGGGCTCGGGCCAGGGCCCACCGATGTCCTGTTCTTGCCAAAAAGCGAGAGACACGCTCCGTGAATCCGAACCCGTCGGGCCTGGGCGCTCTTCCATAGAAAAAAGAAAATGACGCGGGACACTTCCACCTCCTCAGATAATGTCAACTTGTGGGGTTCAGTTTGCATTTACCTATTTTGCTGGTGAGGAGGTTTTAGGGAAGTTGACGTACCAGGCAATGGAGGTTCGCTTATCGCGGTTCTTTGTGATCGAATCGGTTTACCTGATGAGGGTGAAGGCCCAAAGCCAGGTCGGCGTAGATACGAGGGGGAGGTTGGGCCCCACAAGTGGTAGGAACTGATTTTTTTTTGGTGGGAGAGGCCCCGTCAATCACGGAGGGGAGCTACGGCTTTTCTTTGTCCCCCGAAATTCAGTGAAAGAAGGAAACAGACAGTGCTCCTCATCTCATTTGGATGTGCGGGCACATCAGCGCTGGAAAAAAGGCCGCCACTCTATGAATCGAGTGTGATGAATGCGTAGCCTAGCGGTGTTGTTCACGTGGTTGACCGACGTGTGACGAAGATTGAGGTGGGGTCGGGCTCACACTTCCCGTGCTGGAAGGATAACCAATCATTGGTGACCGTGGTGAGAGAGAGAGAGAGAGAGAGAGAGAGAGAGAGAGAGAGAGAGAGAGAGAGAGAGGGTGGCTCCGGCCTCGCAAGCTTGGCAAGCTTTGGATATGGAAGGAAGAGGGTGTGGCATGGAGCATTCCATTTGGATGTCTGAAAGAAAGTTGCTCGTTGAAATCGAAGAAGCAGCATAATCGGTCAGTGGTAGATCGGGGGGAGGGTGTGTGACGACTCTGGTGGCGAAAATCTCGGTATTTTCTGAAACCAAGGTGCTCTTTCCACGTTTTTCCCCCCCTCTCAGGTGTCGATCGACTTGCACGCAAGGACATTGCTTGCTGAAGCGTTGCCTTCTTCACCGCATTCACGCCCATCCACAGCCGACGGGCTCGGTAGCAAGGTCTGCAACGTGTGGATGGTGTGGTGCGATCGGTCGTCCCCGAGCTCCACTCTGGGTGGCCTGAGATTTTTGGTTGACGTGTACACGTTTTTCCTGTACGTCAACCTTTTGGCGGTGTAGTTGTTCCGGCCGAACACAGAGAACGCCGATTATGATACATCGAGAGCTCGTGGCTCGTGTGCCGTCAAAGACACGTGGCTTGTGTGCTGTCGAATGTCTTCTGACTTTCACGTGAGAATTTCCGACACTCACGCACGATCTGGAGGATGATGTGTTGGTGGCAGGAAGTGCATATATAAATATATATCCGAAAGCGGATTTGCATATATAAATATATATCCGAGTGGAGTGGCGAACGAGAGGAAGGGAGAAGGAGAAGCTCAGCTGTGTCGTCTGTACTGAGACCAATGCGCATAAGAGACGTCTGCCTTAAGGCGAAGGCCGGGCACTGTTGTGAGGAGCCTTCTGCCGGGCACTTGTACTTGGAGATGTCAAGCGGCGAGTAGCACAGCCCGGCAGTGAGGAGGAAATCAGTTGAGAGTTGTGGGTTCTAGGTCTGGGAATAAGATTAGGAACACGCGCGAAGAGCAGCTTGGAAAACGTGGCAGAGGGCTCGACGAGTGTGCGCGTAATGTTGTGTTGCACCGTGTAGGCGGCACCAAACACAAGTGAAGGGCGAGTTCGGCATCGGGGCAGGAGGCTGTGGGAGAGTGGTAAAGGTATCTGATTGACGCGAACGAACACTCATCGTCCTTACTCTGAGTGCAGACAACAGGACGTCAGCAAACCTAGTTGTACAGAGTTTCTCGGCAGGACCTGATCTGTACGTTGTGTGTGTGTGTGTGTGTGTGTGTGTGGACGTGTAAGAGTGTGTGTGTGTGTGTGTGTGTGTGTGTGTGTGTGTGTGTGTGTGTGTGTGTGTGTGTGTGTGTGTGTGTTTAGCTTAGCTAGCAGGAACCGGGTGCAGTGGTGATTCGGACAAGGCGACGGGTGTCCAAGGAATCTCGCTGCTCTTGGGTGTTTGTGTTATCTTGCCGAGTTTCCGGCTAGTGTGGGTGTCAGTTGTAAGGTGTGTGTGTGTGTGTGTGTGTGTGTGTGTGTGTGTGTGAGAGAGAGAGAGAGAGAGAGAGAGAGAGAGAGAGAGAGAGAGAGAGAGAGAGAGAGAGAGAGAGACGGTAATTGGTAGATGGATGATTTCGAGAGGGCGATCTTGTATGCTTTTGATCAGAGCGGGGCCGTGTCTGCCGAAATACGGAAGCAGGCGACAGATTTCTTGGTGCGGGCGCGTACTGAGCCGACTATATGGCCGCAAGTGTTCCTGGATCATTTCCGGCTTTCCGACTACGGCGAAGTGCAATTCTGGTGCTTGCAATCGATCGAGGATTGGGTGAGGAGTGGCTACGCCCAAGCTGACAGGCCCCTTCGTGAGGCAATCCGCTTTGTTCTGTTCTCGATTGCTTGTGGCGGAGATGGAACGGAAGGGCCTCTGGGAGCGGGAGGAGGAGCAGGAGGGGATCCGTCGGTGGGAGGACAGCAGCCTGGGAGAGCAGCAAGTGGTGGGGGGCTATTATCAAATCCTGCCACGGCCGCCTCCGCCGTGGCATCAACGAATGCAGCGGTAGGTACGGGGTTCGATTCCTCCGCAGCGCTGAAGCCGAGACCGGTGTTCGTGCGGAACAAGCTGGCACAGATCATTGCCCAATTCATTTTCTTGGAATACCCGGCAAACTGGCCCTCAGTGTTCCTGGATCTGATCTCCTCCTTAAGCAGAGGACCGGTCGTTGCTGATATGTTTTGTCGTGTTCTCATCACTCTGGACGAAGAACTAATTAGCATTGATTACCCTCGTTCTGCTGAGGAAAGTGCTGCCAGTATGCGCGTTAAGGATGCGATTCGAGGGATGTGCGTGCAGCAGATGGTCGATGCTTGGTACGCGCTGATCGTCGCCTACCGAGCTACTTTGCCTGAGCTAGTGGCGTCTGTCCTTGAAGTGGTTCAACGTTACGTGGTGTGGATTGACATCATTCTTGTGGCCAACGAACGCTTTATGCCGATCATTTTTGGAATGCTGTGCTCTCCGGAAGAGACCGCGCGGCTTCGAGGAGCCGCGGCGAGCGTTCTTCTGGCGATTGTCATGAAAAGAATGGATGCTGCTTCCAAGGTGGCGCTACTGAAACGCCTGGAAGTCGTCGAGATCTGCAGTAGTCTGACAGATGTGAAGGACGCGGAATTCGCGCTGAAGGTGAGCGGGCTGTTCACGGGAATAGCGAACGAGGTGTTGGAATGCCTGAAGAAGATGGAGAGTGGGGAATGCAGCGCGGGGGGCGATGACGTGGCAGTGGTTGGGGCTTTGGCGGGTTCAATGCTGGATCGGGTGATGCCAGCGGTGCTGTTCTTCATGGGCAATCGTGATGAAGAGGTATCTGCGACGACATTTCAGTTTTTGTCTGCCTACGTGTCTAGAATCAAGCGCAGATGTTCAGGTGGAGGACACGTGGCAGATCTAACGATCAAAGAGCGAGAGCATCTAGATCAGATCCTGAGCGTCGTGCGCAACAGGATGCGTTACGACGACGATGTGTTCATGTCGCTGGACGAGGTGAATGAGAGAGGTGCAGCGATGGCGGCAACGGCGGCGGCAGCGGCGGGGGGGGGGGGCAGCCTCCCGCCCACCCTGGAGGATGAGGAGGAGCAACGCATGGAGGAATACCGAAGGGATTTATACACGATCTTCCGGAATATCGCGAAGATATCACCGGATGTAACCAGAGAGTTCGTGCAATCCACGTTGTCTTCGGTCTTGGGAAAGTCGAACGAGATGGTGCCCTCTGCAGATGTGGAAGTTTCCCTCACTCTGCTTTACCTTCTAGGGGAGGGGGCGGGAGAGGATGTCTTGAAGCCAGGTAGCGGATCCATGGGGGACATTTTTGCGGCACTACTCTCTGCCAAGGTTCCATGGCACGGCCATCGAATCATCGCGCTGTCTTATTTGGAGATAATCGTCAGATTCGTTAAGTTCTTGCAGCAGCAGCCGCAATGTATCCCGGCTGCGCTGACTGCGTTCCTTGACGAGAGGGGAGTGCGGCACCCGAATCCCAACGTCAGTAGCAGGGCGAGCTACTTGTTTATGCGATTGGTGAAGGTGCTGCGCACGCAATTGAAGGTGTATCTAGATACGATCCTACAGGTAGAATACTCTCTCTTCCTTCCTTTCGGTCCTTTTTCATTACCTTCTTTCAACGCCTCCGCTCCCTCTCCTCCACCTCTCCTCCACCTCCACCTCTCCTCCACCTCTCCTCCACCTTTCTACTTCTTCCACCTCTGCTCGAGCACTTCTTCAGCTTTTCTTCACCCCTCTTCTTTCTTGTCCTCGTCTTGTCCTTTTCCTTCCTTCTCGCCCTCTCCGTTTTTCTCCGTCCTCGAAACGATCTTACAGGTGATACCCTCGCTTCCCGTTTATCATAATGTCCTGATAATGCCTCCTCTCCGTCGTCTCCCGTTCTCCTTTCTCTGGTCTTTGACTCATCCTCCTTTACCTCCTTTTCCCTCTCGCCCTCTTCCTCGGTCTTCTCGTCTGCCCTGTTGTCTTCTCCGTTTCTTCCCGATGGGTTCGCCGTTTTGCTTCCCTGTCCCCTCTTCCTCTCTTCTCTTCTCATCCTCTTCCTCCTTAACCTCTTCGTCATCCTGCTTTTCGTCCTACTCTTGTTCTCTTATCATCCTGTTCCTCTTCCTACTCTTCATCCGATTCCCCGTCCTCCAAGCACTTGACGTTTCTTCTGTTCTCTTCATCGTCAGGGTCCTCCTTGTCTTCCTCCTCGTCGTTCTCTAGCAGTTCTTTCCCTATTCTATCATTCTTCCTCCCTCTCTTCTCTTTCTGTCGCTCCTCTTCGTCCCCTTTTCCTTCTCTACTCCCGCTCCTCTTCCTCTTCTTTCTGCTCTCTCTCTCTCGCCATCCTCTTTACTTCGACGATCCTACAGTTTCTCCCCCGGCTTCCTTTTTATGGTCCTATCCTTTTGTGAGCTCTCTTCTTTCTTCTCTTCTGCCTTCTGTTTGTCTCCATCCTTGCCCCACTGTCTCTTTTTCAAGAACGTTCTCTTCTGCGCTGTTCTCTTTCTGCACCTACGTTCGTCTCCCCCCCCCCCCTCTCCTCCTTTCTTCTGCCTCCTATTGCTACGTGGTCTCCCTGTAGTCCTCTCTCCTGTTTTCACCCTCTCTCGCCTGCTGATTTTCCTCTTCTCCGTTTTCTCTCTTACCATAGTGATTGCGACCTGCCCCGTTTTCGACATAATGTTGTTTTTTCCTTGGCGGTTGTTCGTTTCTTTGTGTTTTCTTTCAAAGACTCGAAGCCCTTCATCGAGTGCACTTTTTAAAAATGTGTTGGTTTTTGTTTCGCGTTCTGCCGCGTTTTCGTGCTTGGCATTGCTCGCTGCAGTGTCTACACCCCTTCCTTATGGGGTTTTTGTCTATTCACCCCCCCCCCCCCCCCCCCCCCCAAAAAAAAAAAAAAAGTTCCAGCACTCTTGACAAATGTCCTCCTTTCTGCCGGGGAGTTCCTGTTCTAGCTTCTTTTTCTTTTTTTTTTGGGGGGGGGGGAGGGAGGTCATTCATCTTGACAAATAAATGTCCGTCGTTGAAGACGGAGTCAGGAGGCATTTCTTTAGGTTTTCCTTGCCGCTCACTCACACATACATTTAGCACTTACTTATTAGGTCTTGGCAGTCGCCTGAGGTTCTGTTCCTTCCCGTTCAAGTCGGTATGCTTTTCATTTATCTTGTTGTCGTCTTGGCGGTGATGCCTCTTTTAACCTTGTGCACGCGCACGATCAAAGTCAGCACGCTTTCGTTTATCTTTTTGTGTGGGCGATGATAGTTTCTTTCCAGGTGGGTGTTGTTGTCTTCTCCCAATCGTTGAGTGCTTCGCGTTTTTTATATACACAGCAGCCGGATGTAATTGCCTCTTTGGCGTGATCTGCCACTGGTTTGCATGTGGTGTTCGCTATTCACTAGGGTTAGGGAAGTGGTGCTGAGCACACCCTGAGAATGAGGGCCGCGCCCACTCTGGCCCTTTTATTTATTATTTGATTCGTTCATTTTTTATGCAATAAATGGCAATAATATAACAATAAAACAACTTGAGTTGGGAGTCCATGTGATGGTCGACCACATCATCTGGGTTTTGAGACGATTGACTATGATGTAATCGTCAGTTCGTTGCGGATGTTTGAAACAAAACCAAAAAAAAGAAAATAGAAAGAAAAAAACACGTCTCGGGAAGCGTTCTTGTTGACGTCAACGTGAGTGAAATCTGTACTGCCTTCACGGTTCCCGTCTTTTTTTTTGGGGGGAGTATACTTGTCCACCCTTTTTTCTGTTATGCGCTTCACCTGTGTGCTCGTGTTCTTCTCTGATTTTTGTTTTTTGTTTTTTGTTTTCCCCCCGCTGCCCCTAATTCCCCCTTCTGTCTTGCAGTTCCTTCCGCCTCTCTCCCGATGTGGCATGGGAGCACTGCCGAGAGGGTATGGCAGGGTAGGACAACTGGACAGTGATACGTGCAGGTGCAGGGGTGGCTGCCTCCAGTAGATCCTCCTTTTTTTTTTCGTCAGTTTTTTTTTTCGTGTTGACAGGCCTTACCTGTTTGGCAGCGTGCACGGCCACGTGGGTGTTCGGACTGCAATTGAAAAATGTTGCACTCATCGTGTGCGTGCTCTGTACGTACATATTTACTTATGGCTTGAATATATGTCACTAGATGGCCATGCTGTGCTGCTGCTAATGCCAGCGGTGTGTCTGGACTCTGGAGTGTATTTCCTAGCTGTGACAGACGTTTTGTTGTTTCGTCCGGCCGGGTTTGCTGGCTTGTGGTGGGGTGTGAACCTGCAGTCTGTGGAGTCTTCGTTTCATGTGGGTTAGTGATAGGGCCTCGCTGCACGACTCTCGAAATGTGCAAAACGAGAGTGAATCTTCCGCTATAATATGGAAAGATACACCGCCTTGATTTTTGTCTTTCGTGCATGTCGAGAGTAGTGCAGCGAGGCCCATAGTCTGCTTTGATTTTCGCCTAAGGCACCCTTCAGGACAGTGGTTGGTGACAACCTTAGGGTATCACTCGTGTGGCAATCATTCATGCTGAACTGCAACCCCGGGGCTAAGGTGGATTATTACGTGATAGTGTCAGCTGTCAGGGGGGGAGTGCAGACTGTATAAGGTTCAGCCTGCTGATGAGTCCTATGAAACAGTGTCACAGTCCACCTTTCTTTGTCCGATCGTCATGTGAAACAGTGTCACACTCCACCTTTCTTTGTACGATCGTCATGACAATTAGCTTTGTCACCATCGTCACCAGCATCATCATCAGCCTTATAGTTCTGGCTGCTATCGTCAAGGTTGTAGTTGCCACTCGGATCATTATTGATTGTGTGGTCATTTCATTTTTTTTTTTTTCCAGTTCTGGCTGCTATCGTCAAGGTTGGAATTGCCACTCGGATCATTATTGTTGTTGTCATTTTTTTAATTGTTTTTTCAGTTCTGGCGGCTATCGTCAAGGTTGTAATTGCCACTCGGATCATTAGTGTTGTTGTCATTAAAAAAAAAATTTACTCGATCCTCACAATTTGTTGAAATGAAAGGTGCCCCGCATCATTCTCTACAAGGTTGGTCACCAGGTGAGATGGTTTTGAGAAGAAAAAGAGCTGTTATGATTCTGCTGAACTCACAGGGCGAAGGCTAACATTGAGGCAGTGCAAGATTTTGTGGAAGGAGTAGGAGTACAAATAGACTTGAGAAAGGAAAGGAGGGAATGGAGGAGGAAAGAAAGAGAAATGTTCGAGATCGAAACAAAGTCATCTCCTCGTCCTCTGGCCATCACTATCTCCCTCACATAATCTTCTCCTCTTATGAACAGTACAGTACAATAATGAACGAATGAATGAACAAGAATTAATGTCCGAATAAACTTCCCTGCTGTCAGCACTCAGCGAGCTCACTCTCGTTCCTCTCCCCTCGGTTGCATATCTAGCCATGGCGGTTCATCCATGGAGACCATGGATGTTCAAAGGATAGTGCAATTACTACTGTCTCTTCTCTTTCCTTCTGCTATAGCCACGGATGAAGTCCATGACCAACCAGTACCCAGCAGGGTTTTTTTGGTTGCAGTGCCAAAAGTAACTCTCTCGTCCGTGCCTCCTCCTCCCTGTACCTCCGCAGCCTTGGCCTCGTCCCTTCTACTACTACATAGCTATGGGGGTCTTCATCTTCACCCTCAGCTTCTCCAACCCAGAGCTGTGGATGACTGTGCCTCAAGGCAGAGCAGCAGCACCGAGTGAATACTATTTACTCTCGACCTCAGTATCTCTACTCGCAGCCACTTCAGCCTCTGCTCGGTTGCATTTGGCCTACATGAAGCTCATGATGGTGTGGATATTCGTGGGTTTTCAACAGTGATTGATTGACTGGGTCACAGTTGTACTCGTGCTGCCAGTATTGGATGCTGGGACTGACCAAAATCAGAGTGAGGGTGAGCTGAATGTTTGGCTTGACGAGGCAGCTGCAAGATTCGGCGAGCATTGCTGGATGGAGAAGATGGGGATGGAGACGGACTGGTCGTGGTGGTGTGTCCATTTCTTTGTCGTCTTTGTCACTTCTCCCCCCTCTCTTGAACTCTTGTCCGCAGGCGAGGTCATGGAGGGAGGTAGTTCATGATGTGCTGACCAGCTAGCAGGCAGGTCCCTCTGTGGGGGCTCCCCTGTGAGGGAGGGTGATCTCTCTCTAGGCTTGTACTTGTGTGGCTGATAATATGTTGGCTGGTCCTCTTTTTCTGTGGGTGGTGGTGCGAGGGGTCATGGATGGAGGTAGTGCATGATGTGCTGACTGGCTAGCAGGCAGGTCTCTCTGTGGGGGTTCCCCTGTGAGGGAGGGTGATCTCTGTCTAGGCTGGTACTTGTTTGGCTGACAATATGTTGCCTGGTCCTCTTTTTCTATGGGTGTTGGTCTCTTGTATGCGGTGCAGAGCTTGCAAGGGATCTTGGGCACCATCACGTCATTTGAGTGCATTAGCAGCAAGAAGGACCCTAGCGTAATGGATGAGCGGCTATACCTGTTTGAGGTACGTAAGTAGATTACACACAGGGACTCGTATGGAAACTGGAAAGAAGGAAGTTGGTATGTGTGTGTGGGCTTGATTTTAGCTCTCGCTACCTCCACTTCCTTTCTTTTCTCTCCTTTCCCACCCTTCCCCCCAAAGGAAATGTAAAGGCACCAGTGACAAAAATTGCAGCCATTGCGCATTTAGTCATGACAGAAGGTTTACTATAACTGCTACTTGTATGTTGTCTCTATTTCATTGGTGTTATATGATCCTGGTAATCTCACAGTCCAAAACTCAAAGAAGGACTGTACTGTTGTATTGCAAGTGGAAGGGAAGATATTGGAAAGCGAAATAGACAACGGAAAAATAAGAAATAGGAATGAAAGAAGAAGAAGAAGAAGATGAACACAAGCAACGACCAATGTCACTCCCTCTCCAACTCGCCCCACCATCTTCAACCTCCAACATCTCCCCCGACACCTTATCTTATTATTAATAATATAAACCAGGACAATGAATGGATGAACGAGAATCAATGTCCGAATCCCTTACTGCTGTCCAATCAAGGTCAGTATGGGTCCGATGTGGAGGACAAGGCAGGGCTACCAAGCCTCTCCCACTATGGCCACCATGCCGCATTCTACCTCCGAAGTACTACCCCACTTGGGGGCTTCCAGATGCAGCACCAACCAAGAAGATGAAGATGCAGACCACCATAGCCAAGATAAGATAAGCTACCTTCTTCACTCCCCTCCTTGCTCCTTCCTCGTTCCTCCCTTCTTCCTCCTCCCTAGGCCTCTGCCATACCTAGACCTTCACCCACCTACACCTTGGTACCTCCCCCATAGACGAGGTGGGGCCCAAACTCTGCCTCCTTCAGCTGGGCGGTTGCTCCAGCAGCGTGCAGAGGCACACCCTTAAATGAAGCAGAGTGCAGTGCTGCGTCCACCTTGGTACCTCCTCCATAGACAAGGTGGGTGCCAAACTCCGCCCAGTGCTGCTTTTTTGGCCGGGTGGTTGCCCCAGCAGCGTGCCTCTGCACGCCAACAAATGATGCAGAGTCCATCGCTGCCTCTCCTCCTTTACCGGCCACTGAACTGACTCTCCAGCTACCAGGCCTATTGGTTCCCCTGCCCGATTTGGCATGAAACATCATTGCAGTCTGACATCCTCCTTGGCAGGCTCTAGACGTGGGCCTACCGGATCGGTACGGACTCAAAAAATGCTACCACGATCTACTCAAAAGGTGCTAAAACCCCAATTGACACATGTCCACAGGTTAGTATCGGGGGTGAGGGCCATATCAGCACAGGCCCTCACCAGCGGGTCACACACGTGCAGGTGTCAGACAAATGCGAGCACTCAGGATAGCAGCAATTACTCAATAAAACATGAAAATCTCAGCAAATCAGTGCAGCATGGAGCAAAAACAACAGATTTCTCAGTCTGCAATTTTGCAGGCCATTACATCAGACCCCCCCCCGCCCTTAAGAGCAAGGTCCCTCCGAGCGACAGACTCAGCAGAATCTCTGCAAAATGCTTTGTAGGCAGGGAATGGGAAGAGGGTTACCATCTGTTCATGGCGAGTAAAATGCGCATGACGCTCATATGCATTTACTGCACGAGGTGCAGTCTTGATCAGGACTTTGCAAGAGATCTAGTAGAGTTGATCAAGAGGATGAAATAGGAAATGCACTTGTTATTTTCTGTCCCGTCCGTTACCTCTATGAGTCACAATTGTGTCAACTTCATATCTGCCATCAATAGCATTCTGGATCATTGAATCACGATCAGGAAAGGAAGTAGAAGCAGTGTTCACGATCAGGAAAGGAAGTAGCAGTGTTTACGATCAGGAAAGGAAGTAGAAGCAGTGTTTACGATCAGGAAAGGAAGTAGAAGCAGTGTAAGGATACAACTTAGATCCATGAAACACTGGATACAACTTAGATGCATGAAACACTGGATACGTGTGCAGATGAGGAGGCATGCGAACCACATAGGAAGGACTGAAGTTATCATTGCCCAAGACCTTCAAAATCTGCCAAGGGTCATAGCGCAAAGGATCATTGAATCATGATCAGGAAAGGAAGTAGAAGCAGTGTAAGGATACAACTTAGATGCATGAAACACTGGATACAACTTAGATGCATGAAACACTGGATACAACTTAGATGCATGAAACACTGGATACGTGTGCAGATGAGGAGGCATGCGAACCACATAGGAAGGACTGAAGTTATCATTCCCCACGACCTTCAAAATCTGCCAGGGGTTGTAGCACAAGGGATCATTGAATCATGATCAGGAAAGGAAGTAGAAGCAGTGTAAGGATACAACTTAGATGCATGAAACACTGGATAGGTGTGCATATGAGGAGGCACGCGAAACAGGTTGGAAGGACTGAAGTTGTCATCTCCCACAGCCTTCAAAATCTGCCAAGGGCTGTAGTATACTGGGAGTAACTTTACTCCTTCCTCATCTGGAAACTCAGACATCTTAAACCAGCAGTACATTGCCCATACATCAGTCATGGGCCCCTCATTGCGGCTTTTGGAGGTCGAAAAGGTGAAAAAGGCCGTCGTTGAAACGGTCTGACCCCGGGGGACTGAAGTCATCATCCCCCACAACCTTCGAAAGGGCCGTAGTATACTGGGAGTGGTATGCGCGATGCTCCTTCCTCATCTGGAAACTCAGACATCTTAAACCGCCAGTACCTTGCCCATACATCAGCCGTGGGCCCCTCACTGCGACTTTTGGAGGTTGGGAGCACGACAAACGCTGTCGATGACCCCAAAAGTTGCACCGGTAAATGAGCCGCATATTTGTTTTCCAAGCGGGGAAAGCTAATGGTGGTTTAAACCACCAATAACCCCCGCCGGCCTAAATTCGGCTTTCCTGCCCTTACGGACCGGGTTCTTAGGGGTGGTGGTGACCAGCAGATGCAGGCGGGTCCGGTCCAAGGATTTTCAAGCACCAACTTTGATGATTTTTCACGCTCAGAAGCATTGAAGGAAAAAATTGAACAATTGAGATCCTGTAGATTAGAGTGTGATATTTTTACGAAAAATTGCAAAAAAATGAACAAAAAAGAAGATTTAAACCGTGAAATAAATGTCGCTCTGTTTCGTTGCATTTTCCATTTTTACCACTCTACCTACCACGTGTGGGCCAACGGGAAAAGTACCCCAATGTCGATGATTTTGTGCACTCAAAAATAAAATATTTCTGACCGTTAAATAAATGCTGCACAAATTTGTCCCATACTCCATTTTTGCCACTCTATCACGCGTCAGCCAACGGGAAAAGTACGCCGACTTCAGCGATTTTTCACGTCCAAATCAATACTCTAGGAAGTCTGACGTTTGGCAGATACTTTGCGGGTTGTATAAGAAGACCGCGTTGGAGGGTCTGCAGATTTCGTCGTGATCTTTCTAGGAAAAATATTTGTAATGAACCTGGTCTCGTTTCCTCATTACCACGTGTATGTCTCAAGTCCACAGTACCCAGAAAAGAGAGGAGGGAAGAATAGACAGCTGGAAGGAGAAATATAAGTCCCTCTTCTCGTTCAGGCTCCCCACCTCCGCCATGTCAGCAACATGCACTCAATGTGCCATGCCAGTAGTGTGCACTCATTGTGCCTCGTCAGCAATATGCACTCAATGTCCCACGCCAGCAATACGCACTCAATTTGCCACGTCAGCAATATGCACTTCAATGTGGCACGTCAGCACTCCGTGTAACATGTGGACGATATGGAAGCAGCTTCTCGCAGGTAAAAAACGATCCTCCAACAGCGAGCAGAATTGGCAGCAGCTTCACATCTGAAGAAACCAGGTACGCACGCACAACGACTCACATCATCCACACTCTCTCTCTCTCCTCTCCTCATTCCCTCGCTGTCATCTATGGTCGCGGTCTTGGCCGCCCTCTCCCTATCTCACTACTATTATATCTGGCTGGCACCCCTCCAGCAGTTTGGTGCCAGCTTCTCCTCTCCGGTCTTATGCACAGCATTGTAGCTGCAAGCAACTCGCAAGACTGAGTGCTCGAGCAGTGGTGAGGTCGACCTTTTGTAGCGTTGACTGGCGCTGTTCAGGGTCAGCCTCGGTCCATGTGAGGGCCCAGATCATCCGATCAGTCCCAGTTTCAGTCTGGAATCCTAGGCCTGCCTCGGTCCATGTGAGGGCCCAGATCATCCGATCAGTCCCAGTTTCAGTCTGGACTAGGCCTGAATCTTCTGGAACCTGCAGACAACTGTTAGATCATTCCAGATCAACGGCCAGGAAATCTTTGTTGTTGACTTTGACTTCTCGGATCTGGGCCTGGGTCCACGAGTTGACTGTTGACTTTTTGGTCAACTGTTGGTCTGGGCCGTTTCCAAGCCTCTTTGAGCCCTCTTTTCAAGGCCTGCCCGTTTGTACCTGTCTGTGGGCGTGTCGGGAGCCCAGTGGCTCAATTTGGCACATGAGTTACAACATATTTAAGAAAAAAATAAAAAAATTTCAACCATGAAATAAATTGTGGGGGCAATTCAACGTATTTTCCAATTTTGCCCCTCTGTCAGTTCTCCCCACTGTGCTACCGGTAGCCGTCATGTACCTGTGTTATCGGTCCCCCCTAATTGAAGACGGTGGGGGTAGTGGTCGTTTAACCCAAACACAATCACCCTCTTTAGAAGTTGCAGGCCCGAGTCACCGATTGACGAGTTTGATCATGGCATCCTGCCGCTTGTTTATTGGTATGATTGCAACTTTGAGCAAGCGTTGGTATTCAACTCTGCAGCGGGGCATGCCAGGGGTTATACCAGCAGGATGGTCAGAAACAAGAAATCAAGAGGGTTGCGGATCCGCCGACTGTATTGCAGCGTGTTTGGAGTCACACAACGCGTGGAGTGAATGGAGTTGTACAACCTCTTGATCACATCCAACTCATCATCCCAGGGGTTTAGATCAGGGATGGGGTGACAATCTGGTTTATTTGTTCTGCTTGTACATGCTCAGTTTAATGCTGTAGAGTTG